GTGTGCTATGGCATGTGTGGAAGTTCTAGGACAATTTGATGAAATCAGTTCTCTCCTTCTATCATGTTATTTCCAGAAATCAAACTTAGTTCATCAGCCTTGGCATCGAGTATCATTACCCACTGAACCATCTTTGTAGGTTCATTTCTTCAATTTAATATTTATCCCTTTTCAATTGACACACATTAAGTGTGTCACGTATACATGTATTAAACTGCTCAATGCTGCAAAAATCTGTGAGCTTATAACATTGAAGAGGAGGTATACAAAGTTCACATCACTCAAGTGTCTGGTGGCATTCTCTCTCTGGCCACTGTGTCCAGGCATGGTGGTGTAGTGATCCTGGGTCACCACCACATCTTACCCTGTGGTAGAAACCACCCGGGCACTTCAATCTTGTGTGAGCATTCTTTTCTGTCAGCATCACCCTTTCATGTTCTAAGTGTTGGCAATGCAAGTGTCCAGATATATTTATTTTTAATGAAATGTGATGTTTAATAATAACAGTTTTGTATGCTACCTTACCATAGGCTACAATTATAATTTGTGTATTGAGGGTCACTGAGACAATGATTCCAGACTGTTAATGTGACTGGTCTCCACCAAGGCACAAAACCCAAAGTTCTGAATTGGAACTCAGAGGTGTGGAGTTCAACTACTCCTATGTTAGTTACCTGCAAAATTTAAGTGTGTGTGTACTGTTGTCATCTGTGTGATTCTGGGCAAATTACTTCATCTCTTTTATCACTCGGTTTCCCTACTTGCATAGGGGAATGATGAAACTGTGTATGTCTTGGTATTGTTTCGAAGAGTCAATGAGATCATGATTCTCAAGAATTAAAACAGCATTGTGCACTACTGAGTACATATATGTTTTTATAATTACAAACATAGTATAAGTCCTCTATCATGTCATCTTACCCTTGATGAGCAACAAATGACATGGGAAATTTGTGCATTGTTTTTGCTGCCTAGCAAGTAGCCACAGATGTAAAACAGTGTTTGTTGACTGTCTCACTGTCTGTGTAACACAGGAAACCAGGCATAGCTTAGCAGCATGTTCACTGCACATAGATTTGCATGGCTCAAGAGCAAGTTGCAGCATTGCAACTTGGTGTGTGCTCTTTTCTGAACCTCACATTTCTTCCCTAAACCTGTATGGTCATTGGGAGAATTTGTATCTGTGTGGTTTCAATTCTCAAGCTCACATTTCCTTCCCTCCTCCATCCCTCCCTCCTTCCCTCCTCCTTCCTTCTTCCTTCCTTCTTCCATCCTTTCTTCCTTCCACCCATCCTTCCTCCCTCCTTCCTTCCTCCTTCCTTCATCCCTTCCTCCCTCTCATCCTTCCTTCCTTCCTCTTTTATAACTTTTAAAATAATGTATCTGCTTTATTTTATGAGCATTAGTATTTTGCCTGCATGTGTGTCTGTGTGAGGTGTTGCATCCTGGAATTACACTTAGTTGTGAGCTGACATGTAGGTGCTGGGTATTGAACCTCAGCCCTCTGGAAGTTAAAAGCCAGTGCTCTTAACTGCTGAGCCATCTCCCCAGCCCTTGAATATATTCCCTTAATGATTCAGTTTTTATATTATGGACTTTGATGCAGTTTTCTATTTTTTATTCTTTGAAAGTTCCATACACATACATTATGATATCTAATTATTTTATCTGCCCACCATCCCATCTCTCATTCCTCTTCCCTCTCCTGCTCAAACTTTTTTCTTTTTAAATGACTTTTGTTCGGGGTGAATAACATTCAAATCTAGTTAGCTTTAGTCTTCTACATGTGAATATCTACTTTCCCAGCACTATTTGTTGAAGAGGTTTTGCTTTGTTTTTTCCCTCTCAATGTATGTTTTTGTTCTATACTGAGAATCAGTTTACTGAACATTGGTGTGTTTATTTCTGAGTAGCCTATTCTATTCCATGTCTGCTTTGTTCCAGTGCCACTCAACTTTGTCACTGTGGCTCTGTAGTAGAATTTGAGATTAGGTTGTAATATCTTGGCATAAAAGAAAATAATAAATAGAAAAAAACAAAAGAATATTCAAAAAGTAGAAAGGCAATAAGCAAAGGAAAGATATGAAGTGAAGGCCATAATTTTGTTGAAACGGAAAAAGGATGTATATAGAGAGAATAAAAGAAAGCAACAATTAGAGGAAGAGAATGGGAGGGAAGGGCAACAAACAAGAAAGTCACTAATAGAACCAAAATGGTACTCTGTGTGTGTGTGTGTGTGTGTGTGTGTGTGTGTGTGTGTGTGTGTGAATAAACTTAGAAAATAGGACAATAAAGAGGAGGGGGATGAGAGGCCATGTGCTGCCTTGCCGGGGTGGGGGTGGCCATGCCGTGTATGACTGAAACCTCCCTTGCCAGGTTTTATACTTTTTCCTTCTCTGCTCAGTTCTGCAGCCCTTGGAGAAGGTGGAGGTTAACGGTATTCCCTCTTTTCTGTTTTACATGATGCTCACTTTGCATCAGTGAGAATTGTTTAGGACCAGAGCTGGATGGAATAGCTTTGCATTCCTGGCCACTACTGCATGGTAGCTTGGAACCAAAGTTACTTCAGAGTAAGATTCTGGAGGAAAGATTGAGTCAATGCACTGGTAGCTCCTCTTTCCATCTAGATCTCAGACATTCCACAGAGAGGATCAAACTGCAGACTGAGCTGCATTGAGGAGGCACCACCACTTCCATGCCATTCCACTTAAGCAGCTCTGGTTCACAAGGTTAAGTCAATTGTGTGGATCATGCACTTCTGCTCAGTTCACTGATCCTCGTTGGGGCCCGCTAACCCTTCCTGTTAATAATGAGCCTCATTTCTTGATTCCAACTGGAATCACCTGCCTGCATTTTCTAGCTTGCTTCACCATGACTTATCACACAGTGGGTATATTCTGGTGGTGTAGAAATATTTGCTATGGATTCCAAGAGAAAAAGCAGGGACTTTGCCCAAAGCAACACATTGTACCAGCTGCCTTTTAAACAGTTTTTACTTGAGAAACAAGGATGCTCCCTTCAAATGGTCCTTCCATTCTTCATCAGTTTTTAGGTCGTGCTTTCTTCTGCTTGTCTCCCCCACAGTTTCACACCCCACTGAGGAGATGTGCTGTGGTGTTTGCTTCTGAGACATAGAAAACTGGAAGTGCTACTTGTTTCTAACCCACCATTGTGGATCCTCTCTAATAGACACATACTTAGCAAACATCAGTCTTGGGTTTCACATAGCACCTAGAGGCCACCAATTGGCCCTGCTACATGGTTAGCTCCATGATATGCTTGTTATTTTTTACTCATTATATTTTAATCCCCTGTCACCAGCTGAAGGAAAGACTCTTCAGAGGGCTTGCCTGGGTAGGCCCCTCAGCAAAGCCCCCTTCAGCTTGCAAGTGTAGCCTGACAATGGACGCATTTTGCTATGTACACAAATTCTACTGGCAAATATCTGTGTTCAGGAGGGTGGTCAGGGCATGGATGCTTAGTCTATTACAGAAGGGTGAGCACAAAATGAAGATCAAAATGAAATTCAAATTAATAATGAGCATAACCATAAGTTTTTTAAATTTTGTTTTTGTTTTTAACAGTTTTAAATATTTTCTCTATTGGTGAATAATCTCATAAATAATATGAAATATGATCATATCCACCTATATCTCCACGTCTAATCCCCTAACAAAACTTTGCACCTTCTTGTTCCTTTTGTTGTTGTTGCTTTGCTGGGGCTTAACCAATGGTTAGTTTTTAACAGCCAACATTATGATCATGGTGTCAACACATCTTTCATCTCACAGAAGTCTGTTCTTATTTTTAATAGTTTAAATTAGCCACAGAGCCTGGCATTGGTGGCACATGCCTTTAATCCCAGCACTTGGGAGGCAGAGGCAGGCAGATCTCTGTGAGTTTGAGGCCAGCCTAGTGTACAGAGAGAGTTCCAGGACAGGCTCCAAAACAATACAGATAAACTTTGTCTCGAAAAACAAACAGAACAAAAAATTAGCCACAGCATATGCTGGTTCACCCATTCTGTAACTTGGAGCTTTCACTATTTTGTAATTGCTTCAATTCCTAGTTTTGTTAACTGATATACTGATTTCCCCATGTATCCTGATTTGGTTTGTGAGGAGTTGAACCAATGTATTACCCCAAAATAAAGCTCATGGAGTAATGTCTTTAGGTTAGAGTCAGCTGCCTATACGTGGCATCCACTTATGTGTGTAGCCACCCTGAATTCCCTGTGATCTGCATGTATTTTGTCTTAAAGAAAACATACATCTAAATGAAAGTAAGATATCAGCCTGAGAAATACTCACTTTCACAGAGGCCTTCAAACTTAAGAAAGCATGCTTGGTTGTGGGTTTGTTCTTTGACTATGAGGGTATTGTGTATAGTAAAAAACTCAATAACCACATAACAAAAGAATTATATAGGAAAAGTTTAAAATGATTGCATAAAATACAAGAACAGAATGGGAAATATTAAGCTATAGATCCAAATTAATATCTGCTGTAATTGGTAAGAGATGTGACTTCAAGCAAAGGGTGAATTTCTTGTACACAGTGATTTTCTAAACTTTGTATATGGAATTAAGTAGTGTTACACACCTGACAGCTGTTGGCTACAATGATATTGATGAATTTGTTTCTATCTCTACCATGGGGATGGAGCAATCTCCAGACAAGCTCTAGAACATTGCATGTTGGGCACTTTGTAATGTCATCACTGTTCTGATGGCTGTAATTGTTCAGTTATTTGGACAGTGTCCCAAGTGTCCTTTGCCCTTCTTCCATATTTTCCTCTTAGTTTACATTGAATCCATGAGGACTCTAAGCTGAAATAGCTTAAATTTACTTTTTGATTGATTTTGTATAATTATATATACATATCTTATTCCTTCTTCCCTAACTGCCTTCCTAGATTCCTCTCTTCCTTTATTCTCCTTTTCATTATTTTTACTCTTTCTTTTCCCTCAATTTTTCTTAATTATTGTTTTTCCCAAGCAGATATTATTCTAAATTTCCGAACAACTTATGTCAGCAAGTCTGGCCAAGTTATCTTTGAAGCGAGATCTATTTGCATCCACTACGTCACCACCTGGTTCATCATTGATTTGATTGCTGCCCTGCCCTTTGACCTCCTGTATGCTTTCAATGTCACAGTGGTGAGTAGAGACATCTTCCATGTGGCCTTTAAGTGCTGCGCTTGATTTTCTTATGTTTGGTGTTAAATATCATTGACAGTCTGTGCTCCCTAGGGTTCATGTCCTCTGTAGTAAGTATTCTGAGACATCCAGTGGCTCACAGGCCAGATTCTCCACTTGAGGAGGTGAATTACTTCTAATATCTTCCTTCAATACTCAGGACTAGATATAGCATATGCAGAAAGAAAACCTGAATTTATCTTAAATTTTGACTTACTAAACAAATCCTTTAATACCAAACCACCTCTGGGGATAGAAGCATCACTGTAGATTCCTAAAAGGAAATCAGCTGGAGCATGTGGTGGGAAATTGAAAAACTTTTCTTTAACTGTCTCTATTATTTTGTTATTCATCATCAAAGCTAACTGAAGACTGATCAAAGAAAGAGGAATGCTAGAGTTAGAATAAGGGAATTTACCAAATTAAATGGCGCAGCCTCAACATAAAATTCATACTTGTATCCCCTCTTCTTTCAGCTTATCACCATGTCTCCTCACAAGGAAGAAAGTGCTCCAATTGCAGTAGTAACTATTTTTACCTTCACTGATGAACATTTTTAAAACCCGTCAAGTACTTCTTTATAACCAGAGAGATGTAGACCAATTTTGATTTGGCACATGGATTTGCTGTAGTAACCAATTTTAGCCTGTAAAAACAAACATAGTTAACTTTAGTTCAAGTTAAACAAATTCCTTTGCCAGTTGATACCCCTCATATAAATCATATTTTTTGAAGAATTTAATGACTTGGTTTCCAAGAGTACCAAACTGATCAGAATTTCAAATGCAAACATCATTGACTTCAAGATGAAACTACAACTTCTATCCCAACTGCTTAGTGCAAACTTACATATTTGCCTATCTGTTAATTGTCTGTGTCATAAGAGTATCATTTGTCTTTTTTTGTTGTTTTGCTTTGAGTTGAGAGCTTAAGTGTTATTTCGTTAGTAGGAAAGCTACCAAGAAAGAAAAGTTTATGAGTCAACATGACACTGTGATTTCCAAAGCACTTTTGGAGATTGAATTTGTCTAGATAAGTACCATAATGAAAATACAGTGACTTAAAACAAGGATTTTGAAAAACTGAAAAATAATCTAAAAGTAGTATATAAGTTAAAAAATGTTTATGAAAGTATTTTGAATTCCCTGGCCAAATGGTCAAAATAAATTCTGTTTAACACAGTTTGGTTTTAAATTAATTTGCTGCTTTGCTATTAAATATTAATAGAATTTTTATGGTCTAGTTTTCTCTGGGTACTGAAATAAGATAATTTTAAATATGTATATGTAATATAGAATGATAAATACATACAAGAGACATTCAGTGTATTCTATACAATTGACACTATTGTTGTCTAAATTAACAGGTAAGATTCTTGTATTTGGTGACAGTTTCACTGATCCCTCCCCTTTTTGCTCAGTGTCTTGGGAATCTTGGATAAATGCTTTGGGAAATGCTATAAGTCAGGAAAAATAACAAGAGGGAGAAGGAACTTTTACCAGAAACATTGTTGCTGCTTTCCACAGGCCTGGTCATTGAAAAAGCAGCACAAATCTGCTATCTTTAACAAGTTAATAATTATAAAATGTTCTGTTTGAACAGAAAAGCTTATTCAAGATATTTTGCTCCCTTTCCAAGAAAACATGTGATGAGAACAACTTGTAAGAAATGTTCTTAGACATGGAAACTAAAATAAGGCTACTTCTACCAGATTTTAAATGTGTCCAGTGAATACATTTCCATAGAAGGAACTCAAAATGCAGCATGGACATTGAAAGTGCTCTGTGGGCTTCAGCTCTGCCTGCTCCTAGTTGCCCTTAGCAAATGTTTCCAGTACATTCGTATATCCACCTATTGAAATCTACAGTGCATCTTACAGTGAAAGGTTCTGTGAGAGACAAAACTAAGAATGACAAAGTGGAAAGGCAAAGGTATGGATCATTTGTCATTTGAGGAACAAAGAAAACTTCACAAAATGGGCACAAAACTTCTACAGCTCCTGAGCAGCTTAAAAAGATTTTCTGGCATCAGAAAAGATCTTTTATTCCCACCCCTCTCTCACATATACTTCTGTTCCCCCAGCTGACGGCCTGGAAGACAGACATGTCCAGTTGGTAAAAGTGGAAAGTGCTACTAGTGTGGATAGATACACCTGTCAACAATTGTTATTCATGACAAATTCAGGATAGCCATCCTCACCCATTCATCAAACTCTTGACTCCTCATTCACAGCAGAAAGCTGTACACACTGTTGTGAACAAGTTTAGCAATGTTTCTGTTTCTTTGTTTGAAATGACCCAGCATATCACCTGGATATGTTATTCTGAACCTGAGTTGGCAAGCCCTGCTTATGAAAATGGCACATAAGGAAAGATTCACATTCTTCCCCACCCCCACTGAGGCCACAGAAAATGAGGCATATGCTTCAATACCATATAAAGACGATATCCCCCACTGGGAGTTTATCACTATGTTCATTCACTTCACTTAAAAATTTCACCTATCAAATTCAGTTATCTATCAAATAAACTCTATTCATAATATTTCTCTAAATGACAATGTAGACATTATAAAATCCTAGCATGTGATCATGTATTCTATCTTGACTCTGACTGATGGGAGAAAGAAAGCTAAACTTGTCCATAAAGAGTATCAAGAAGAAATAAAAGAGCACAATAGCAGCCAGGTTCCTAGGCGCTCATCAGGTAAAGGTGCTTGCTTCTGAGCCTGGTGACCTCAGTTACATCTCAGGGGTTCACATTACGGAAAGAGAGACCTTTCTCCAGAGGGTTATCTACGGAGGAATGGATCCAAGATACAATCAGTATTAAATCTCATGATCATGGATGGGAGAGGTGATTTCCAGAGGTTTTAAAAAAATCAAAATGTCAACTGTTTCAATTGTGTCAAACAAGGCCACCTTAAAAGGGGCTGTAAACAGGATGTTCCTAGAAGCAATACTTTTCTAAACATAATTAAAACAGAGCACCTGTCCCTTCTAGGTTATGCAGAAGGTGCGGCAAAGGCAGGCATTGGACAAATGAATGTAAGTCAACAAGGGACACCCAAGTTAACAATTTGCCTTTGGGAAACTCCTTGAGGGGCCTCTCACAGGCTCCCATGCCAAATAGTCATTTCCTGTCATTTTGGAGGAAACTCCTTCCTAGAGCAATTAGAAAACCTAATACCTATTGTAAGAAACCATACTGCTCTGGATGATAGAACAGCTTTAGAAGACAGAAAAATTCAGGAAAAACCATAAAGCAGATATTTTGGCAAACTTCTACAAATGAGCAAATACTGAAATTAAAAATACAAATAAATGGAATTGTCATTGAAGATTTAGTAGACACAGGTGTGAATGTAACAATAGTTTCACCAGAATCTTGGCATCCAAGTTGGCCTCTTCAGGAGGTAAATGTTCAGCTTTTAGGGATTGCAACTTTATCTCAGGAAAACAGAGCATGAGATGGGTCGAATGTATAGGACATAGAGGACAGAAAGGAAAATTAAAGCCATATATTGCTAACATAGCAATGAATTTTTGGGGACATGATTTGTTACATCAATGGGATTCTCAGATTAACAGTCCCCCAAATCTTAGAAACAAACTATAAATTAATATATGTTGCTGGGAAAATTATTAGAAGGTATTATAAAGAACAGTCATCGACTGTTACCCATCTTCCCTTATCTCTAAGAAAACATGCAGAAATTGCTAATTCTTTTTTTTCATTCATTTATTTAGCTCATAAATAAAGTCATGCACAATTATGATACACAATACAGTATGTTCACAATGGCATGGCTAAATTAAACCAATTAACATGTTATATCACACATATTCATCATTTTTGTTTTGAGAACACTAAAATATA